TGCCTATTTAATGTAGCTTTTTTACATATTAAGCAAATTTAACTATTAGATGGGGATATTATAAAATTAAATCTTTTCTGTTCCTTAGGCTTCAAAAAGATCCGTATTTTTTTAGACAAAATGTAAATGATGGATTGGTAATACTGATGTTTGGAGAAATACTTTCTTTTAATCAGATGTCATTCTGTGAAAGCACAAATAAATTTTAAAAAGAAATTAGCAAAGCTGGTCACCCGTTAAGGATCACAGACATTGTTTGAGTTCAGGATTTGGCATCAGGAACTCCAGAATTCTAATCCTGGATCTGATACTGACTCCTTCTGTGGCGTTGACTTTTGCCTCAGTTTCTCTTTTGTTTTACAGGATTTTCAGTGAATGCCTCATCAGAGCGGCTCAATATGGGAGAAATAGAGACTTTGGAAGACTACTGATCTTGTGCAGATTGACCGGCTTTTCCTGTGTCTGTTAACCATGGATTCTCCACCTTTGGACACAGTACTTTCTCCAACTTGCATTTTTCTTCGCCTTGCAGTGACTTACAGAATCAATCATCTCAGGCTGCTGCTTCTAGCCCCAACAAAATCTTTCTGCCCCAGGTTGCACAGTCATTGTCATCTGTCAGCCCATAGACATGTGGACTTTGCTCTGTCTCCTAGGTGGGTGGGAGATAGGATCCATTCCCAAAATGGCTGACTGCAGGCAGCAAGCATTCACTGTGCTGTCATTTCTTCTGCTGATTTATCTGGAAAGTCTACTGGGATTCTGCAAATGGTATCTTCCTTTCCCCAGTCATGCTTATCACATCCAACTTGTGCAATCATGGAGAGAGTTTGTGGTTAACAGAGATTGGTCAAAACCAAAATGCCACACAGATACTGACTTCAGTGCTCCATCAGGACAAGAGGTGCTCTCCAAATCCAGGAGTTGCAGTCATAAGCTAACTTTAGAACTGGCAACAGCAGGAGAGGGTGGTGGTGGGCGGAGTTTAACTTGGATTGGTTTGATGTTGCACACCCCCTGCCAGCCTCTCTCAGCACATTAATTTTGGAGGGAAAGCTTGAGTCTGTCTTCATTAGGTAGTGATGATAGTTACTGGAGTTCTCCCGCCAGCAACCTCCAGCCTTCCTGGACAAATGGGATTGTATAATGGGGGCGGGGGAGGGTGTATTTCTTCTGTTCAGGTTGAAATTACTTACTTAAATATTACCTTCATAGGAATAGGACCAGTTTATTGGAGGCCCTTCTGCTGTGAATTTGTCTCGTTTAAGAGACGCCTAAGGTCTTGGGTGGGAAAGGACTTTACTTTCCAAACAAGTATCCCCCACAGTCTCAGCTGGGTTCCAATGGCAGTGATTCAGTTTTGTGTTACAATAGCATGCAAGTTAAGGGGCAGAGACCATCCTCTTCATAATGGAATGAGATTAAAAGAGAACCTGACTGTAGGCAGCATCTGAATTCCTATAACCATGGAGAGGGAGAAAGTGAGCTGTGAGGCAATGGCACTGATTCCCTTCTACACCTTCAATTACTGAACGTCCCTTCACTTCCAATCCATAATAATTAAATATTTATGTAATCCCAGCGCTCCCTGCAAGAGTTTAAAAAACCCCAAAAACCCGAAACTGCAAAATGCACTTAATTTGCTCCCCCCGCCCCCATCCCACCTCCCGTTCCTAGAGGGCTGCAGTGTGCCTGTGGGGGGGAGAGGCTGCCATTTGGGTGGAGCTGTGTAAAGGTGTCTGTCTTTCTGTCATCACTGCCTGAAGAAGGCGGCTTGAGTTGCTCCAGAGCAGTTTGGCTTTGGGTTTTATTTCATTTGGTTTATTCATTTTTGGGGGGGTAACCTTCCCCTCTTCCTCCTCTCTCTTCCTCCTCCCCCCCAAACATGTACAGTAACTATACAGATACTGCTGCAGACTTGTATATAGTTTTTGGATCTAATAGCACGGAGAGACTTGGAACTGTTGCAAATCTGGTCTCCCTGTCTCCTTTGCTTTGTAAAGTCATAAAGGGGGGGAAGAGGGGTAGTTAAAATGTTTACAGAACTTTAAACTCCCTCTGAACTTTTGCCAGTGTGCGGGGGGGGGGAAAAAAGAGAAATAAAACCTGGTTGTATTATATCTAAGAGCGCATTTTCTACTTGCTTTTGTCTAAGATGATTTTTGAGATTATTCCTGGTGCTTAAACAGACCTGAATCTTGACCTTCATCACAGTTTTCATCAAGAAACATCAAGCAAATACAGAGGATGTGGAGCATCAGCTGCCGCTTTATTCCTGTTCTCCTGCAGAACCTTGGTGGTTTTTCTACTTGATAATTTTAGAGTTCAAAATAAACATCAGTAAAATGAGATTGGAAAATTATGACACACAATCTTCACTCCCTTTTCCTTCCATACACGCGCACGTGCATTCACAGTCACCTTGTTTACGGAGGAAAGATCAACCCTTGGCTAGTTTTCTGTTATGAATTTCAAACACACAAAGTATCTGAGTAAACCAGCAAACACCCTCCCAGCCCAGTTATCTTTACTGAAGAAGGGAGAGGTTTACCCCGAACACTTCAGGTTGGGGGAAGGGCTCTCTGAGGGCATTTTGTACATTTACCATTTTTAGGTAAAATCATGCTTTTATTTTCCCCAGTCCTAATACTAGCTGTCATTTGCTGCTGCTTGTATTTTGGTGAGGAAAATCCTGCTAAAGTTTGAGGACATGATGGGGAGGTAATTGGTCCATTACCCTTCACATGTTAAAAAAAAGGATTACATTGATTGATGTTACTTTTGTTTCCTACTTACATCCAGGCTTGCTCCCACCTCACCTCCGATGTGCTTAAGCTCAGAATTTACCTTAGTTTAAAATATGCTGTCTGGTTGAGGGTATCTTGAAGTCCTTTTTTTTTTTTTTTTTTTTTGGGTACATAATTCTTAAATATTGCAAAGTAGCCACTGTGCATGTGACCTGTTTACGAATGTTACCCTATTCCCTTTTCCAGTAGCATTTAATTTACAAAAGGTAATTCTGAAGCTGTGATTTTGCAAGAACATAAGAATGTAAATGAAGCCACATTAATTTCCAGCTTAACAGGAACATGAGGGGTAAGAGGGAAGCAGTGCTTGCTAAATAGAAAAAGCAAAAGTATGGAGAAGCTATAATTTTGCATTCCCTTTAAGGACCCCATCTGACTCCCAGGGCTGGCTCCAGGCACCAGAGCAGGAAGCAGGTGCTTGGAGTGGCCAATGGAAAGGGGCGGCATGTCCGGGTCTTCGGTGGCAATTTGGCGGCGGGTCCCTCATTCCCTCTTCGGGGGTAGGACTGGCTGCCGAATTGCCGCCGAAGAATGAAGCGGCGCGGTAGAGCAGCTGCCGAAGTGCGGCCGATCGTGGCTCCCCCCGCCCCTTTGCCGCTTGGGGCGGCAAAAAAGCTGGAGCCGGCCCTGCTGACTCCTATAGAAAGGCGCCTGTTAACCATAAATAATGTGGTAGATTGGAATGGTCACTGCACACTATCTCTTGAATTGAAATATTTTGGCATCTGCCTCTCCCCTTTTAGGTTGGTGCTGCGGTGGAGTGAATGTCTTCGTGGCAAAATTGTTACCTTTTATATTGTTGTGAAAAGATGGCATGAGCCTCAAGAATGGTCAGGATCCACCTGTGTCAATATTTGGGGTGAAAAAGAGGAACTATAGTTTTTGTCAGTTTGTGGTGGGTGCAGTCCGTATACAGCTATGCCAGTTCCCAGTTTGTTTTTCTGGTAAGGTATGGAACTAGAGAGTCATTCTGGCTTCTATGTAGCAGGGAATTGATAATGTTGAGTGTGGTGGAAGAGGCATTTAAGGCCTCTTTTCACAAGTGATTTCTGAAGCAAGTTCTGCTTCCTTATGTTTCAGTTGATTAGGGTGGCAACTTCCAGTCCACTCTGTCCTTCCTACGTCTGCCAATTTCCAGTTGCTCTGGCGTAGGATTTAGCCTAGCAAAAAAGGTGTTGTAAAAGGAAATCTGAATCTGGGTTAGCCTCCCTGCTTGATTTAAGAATATATTGAATTACATATAGAAGGAAAATGGCTCTAAGGAGATCCTGTAACAAAAAACTTTTGAATCTGAAATCTAAGACCAAAGAGCTCACCTAATTCACTACATCTTCAGAGCATAGAGAACGGTACTGTGGTGTTTAAATACTCATATTGTGTATGGATGGCTTTCTGAACTACAGTGCTTCTCTGAACAGAAATTACTCACTTCCTTGCAGTTTAGATGTTCAATCTTCATACCAGTTTAAAAAAAAATTCTGGACCCACTGAGAGAACACATAATGAAACTGTTCCATCCCCAGTAAACTGGAATGCTCTCCTTTTATATAAGATTCATTCTTTCCCAAGTCTCTTATCATTGAGGTGCTTGGGTCAGCCTAGATCAAAAATGTGCATTTTTTTTCTCTGCTCTTTGATCCTCTTTCTTGAGCATGTTTGAGGGAAGAGAGAGGGGCAGGAAAATGCCTATGTTCAGGTTAAATCTGATGCGTGCCTGTGATTTAGAAGATGCTTCTTGGTAGACAGTTGTGACCCCGGAGTGGGGGTGGGCACCATGTGTGGTCTTCATTGTAAATCTACCTTTATAGTTTTATGTCCAGAAAACAAAGATGCCAAGAAATTGCTCTGGCTCGATTTCAGAGCATGTTTAACCCTAAAGTTGGAGGCCCTTGTTGTTTGATGCCAGCCCTAATAAAACTGCCCCCCCACACAGGAGGATAAACCATCGAACCATATGCCTGTTTTTGGTGTGGCTTCTGTAATGAGTTGTGTTGTATTCTCATTTCCAGTGTGACATGGGATGGACACCCCAAAGGTAAGCATTTCAAACATAGTCCCGAATCCTGTGGGGCACTCAGCCAAGAACCACTAGAGTGCACTCACCAAATTGGGAGGGGTAACTGATTTCCAACCGTCCAGCTGTGCATGCACTGGAGGAGGAATTTTTAGGCACAAAGTTTAGAGGGTGGAGCTGTTCCTGACTTCAGGAGGGAGGTCTGCCGTGCATCTCTGCAGAGTGTTTGCACTCTGTGTGTGTCTGCGTTCCCATAGGAAGGGATTTGTGATCTGACTGGACAAAGTTTCATTATACTAGTGAAGTTTCCAAGCCTTTTCTACTTTGAAGAGTTTTTAAGAATTCCTTCTGACACTCTCTTCCTGGAGGAAGAAATGCCTCATCACAGCGTCCTTCGCCTGGTCCTGCTGATGCTCTCTGGAGTTGTGGTCCCTGCTGTTCTAACAGGTAAGCATCTTTGTTTGGATTTACAGTTCCAAAGCACTGGGAATCTGTTGCTTATTAACCACCTTCTCTCCCTTTCCCCACATCTCTTCACTCTTTCCAAAAGATTTTCACAAGTAACTAGAGAGAAAGTACCCCCTCCTCATAGTTCAGTAAGTCATCTTTGGAATTCAAGTAGCTAGTACAGGGGAAGAGTTTGATCTGCAGCTTGAGACAGTGAATTTTGTCTATTGTATCTCTTTAAAAACGACTATAGGCCAAGTCTCAAAATAAGAATTACTGAGGGTTTGGATTGCAATGAGCAGTTATCTCTGCAGCTGAGAGGAAGAGTTGTATGCTCTGAATCCTAGCAGAATTAAGTTAAAATCATGTTTCAGTTCCTTTCATTGGGTTACTACTTTCACACAGCTTGGACAATGACAATAGATGAACCAGTTTCTGGTTATTCATTTTCTGTCTCCCATGCACAAGTACAATGTTGCAATGTTTGGGATGCAAATAGAGGAATTTTTAAAAGGACAAGCTAAATAGGCGGGTTTAAGTTACTTGAGTTTTTCCTTCAAAACTGCGTATAGTCTTAAGAACTGGGGTGGGAATGCACTAAACTGTGACTGAGGTTCAGTAAAGCTTGGTGAGGCCCAAAAACAAAGCAAAGAGGGTGCAGGGGGAGGAGAACAATCAGCAAGACTTGTGCCTGCTCTCTAAGGCCCCATCTTGAATGGGACTGTTGCAAGCAATTTTTCAATGGCCATCTCACATGGTTTCACTGGCCAGTGCATACTAAGGGCATAGCCCTGTTCCACCAATTTAAGAATTGTTCTAAAGATTGTCTAGTCCTGAATGATTTTTATGACCAAAGAAACAATGTTATGCCCACAGTCCCCGCCACATGGGCTGGCCTCAGTGTATTGCGACCATGTTACGGAACTGCTTCTCCTAATAGACTTCCCTCTCTAAGTGTAGATGGGACTGTGTTGGAACATCAAAGTGGATGGTTCGGAGCAAGGTAGGAGGCAACTGTCTGATTAAACACACTGCTAAGCATTTATCTTGTATTCCAAACATTGGAAGCCTTGGAGCTACACTGGCTTGTGATGTACACTGCAAATTCATTCCTGCACAATTCATTTTGGCACCTTGCATAGAAGGATTGTTCTGACCATCTGCCTGGCAAATTGCTGTACAGTAGATCTAACCTTTCGTGTTTGGGGGATTTCACACAAGAACTTTAATCCTGTAGAATATCAAACCACAATGTCTATAGAGGCGAGTGAAGAGTAAATGTATCTGATATTTAGTTCATGAAAAGATCTTGGCTGCTAGGAACTCTTTTTAAATAACTAAGAAATACAACATCTAAATTGTGACTGCAATCTGTGTGTTCTCATAAAATGATTTATATATGTAGCTCACTAAATATTTGCATCCTAAATTCCAGTTGGTAACTAAATTACAACAGGGGCTGATCTCTTCCCCCAAAGAATAGTTAAGCTTGTTAGAATCTACCCCACCAAGCAAGTGCATGTTATTTTTCAGTGGTGCCTTAAACTGCGTCCTCAGTGAGCTAGAACCTCACATGTACACAAGAAAGCAATGTAGGTAAGTCCATACAATATATACAGGAACTCAGACCTACCATGCAAAAACTCCCATGGGATAGCCAGTAGGTCTGGGATAAGGAGCATGTTGTACTAACCCAACCACAATAGGGCTTTCACTTACGTTGTACCTGACCATCACCTACTATTCTGTTACTTTCATCTTCATAGTATACTTTGTATGAAATACCCCATGTGCCTCCTCCTAGCTGACTAGAGAATGGACGGTTCATCGAATGGTGCCTGTACTGCCACAGCGTGCGTTGTGTTGGTAGAATGTATCTTCTTGTAGCAGTGTGTCCTTACTTTCTCTCAAATGCATTTTCTCTTGCAGCTTTGAGCCCCCTGGTGGGTTAGTTCTTTTGGTATCTAAAACTGGAGCATCCGGGAATCAGTTTGCATTAAAGATACGAAAAGTGTAAAAGATTTATGCTGCAGCACTAAATGTGAAGGGTTCTCTCTCCCTAAATCAAGTCTTTTAATGCATGGTGGAACTTTTTCTGTATTTTGTTCTATCATAAAAGGGAAGTTTCCCGCCTAACCCTGACAGAGGTGAAGGGGTACAGACAGTCCTCTGGTCTGCATATGCATGCACACGGCCCCTGCCTTTTTGTAAACGAGTTTATTTAACATTCAGCCTAACCACCGCACTCTGTGCTGCTCCACACTTGAGCTCCAAGCATCACAGACTGCCCTTTGTGCTTCCTATGAAGGGCTCTTTTCATCTCTATGCTGGCCACACGCCCACTGTGGCTACCTGGGGCCGGACAGCCCATTGCTGGCCTCAGAGTTCACCCAGCCCCTGCCCTTCTGTGTTGAGGCATCTCACTTCCCATAGCAAAGCCCTCCAAAGTGTGCAAAATGAAGCCAGCCTCGGACCAGGGTGCAGATGTTGTAAATCCTGCTGGCCCAAATGTCCTGGATGACTTGTACTCTGGCGCTATATATAACAGGAGAAGCACCAGAGGACTGACTGACTATCTCTCTATATCTATATCTATATCTATATATATATATATATATATATATATAAAATATCATTTTGTTAAAGCATGTCCTTGAAAACCCTTATGGAGCATAAACCTCCATTAATTGCAAATTAGGAGATTAGCAAGACCGAGTAAAGAATCAGATTGTTTCTGAGGGTTTCCAACACCTGCATAGAGCTCATTGCACACATGAAGGGTCAAAGGGTTGGCGTTCTGGGATCAGACCACTTGCTCATCTAGTCTGACTTGACTTCCTGTAGTGGTCAATATTTCATGCTAAACAAGAAGGCAACCTCCAACCCTAAGTACTAGCCAACTGTTCTTCAGGTGCTTGCTCATGTCGATTCCAAATACACCTCTACCCCCATATAATGCGGTCCGATATAACGCGAATTCGGATATAATGTGGTAAAGCAGCGCTCCGGGGGGGTGGGGCTGCTTTACCTCGTTATATCCGAATTCGTGTTACCGCAAGCGGTTCCTCTGTGCCCGCCCGTTACTTGCTGCTGCCCTCCCCGGGGGCCCCCCCGCCGCCCCAGCTCACCTCCGCTCCGCCTCCTCCCACGAGCGTGCTGCAGCTCCGCTTCTCCTCCCTCCCAGGCTTGCTGCGCCAATCAGCTATTTGATGCGGCAAGCCTGGGAGGGAGAGAAGTGGAGCTGCGGCGCGCTCGAGGGAGGAGGTGAGCTGGGGCAGGGGGGCCGCAGCAAGTAAGGGGGGGCACAGAGGAACCGCTCCCCACCCCAGCTCACCGCCGCCTCCTCCCCCCAGGAGCACGCCACTCAGCTCCGCTTCTCCTCCCTCCCAGGCTTACCGAACCAAACAGCTGATTGGTGCGGCAAGCCTGGGAGGGAAGGGGAGAAGTGGAGCTGCGGCGCGCTCGTGGGAGGAGGCGGAACGGAGGGCCGCAGCAAGTAACGGGGGCGCAGAGGAACCGCTTCCCGCTCCAGCTCATCTCTGCCTCCTCCTCTGAGCGTGCCACCGCCGCTCTGCTTCTCCCTCCCTCCCCCCTTCCAGGTTTGCTGGGCCAAACAGCTGATTGGCGCGGCAAGCCTGGAAAGGAGGGAGGGAGAAGCAGCGGCAGCAGCGCGCTCAGGAAAGGAGGTGGAGATAGAGCGGAGGTGAGCTGGGGCGGGGAGCAGTTCCTCTCCCTACCCTGATATAACGCGGCCTCACCTATAACACAGATTTTTTTGGCTCCCGAGGACCGCATTATATCGGGGTAGAGGTATAGGTGTGCGCATGCTGCGTGCAGTGGTTCCTGTCAGGTCGGCTGTGGAGCCCCCGGAGTTGTGCCTTCATGGCAGTGTATAGAGGTTCCTGCCGACCCGCCGCCTCTTCAGTTCCTTCTTAACACCAGTGATGATCGCTGTGTCTCTCACTTACCTCTGCAAGCGTTGCCCCTAGTGATTGGACTTTTGATTATCCTGTAAATAGTTCATTAGTTAGTGTTAGTCTTAATAAGTTAGTTAGTTAGTTAGATAGAAATGTGGGGCTTTTCCCCCAACCCAATTCCCTCCCCTCTTGGGGTTCGGGGCATGCCTCAATCCCAAGGGTTTAAGCTGTGCAGGACCTGGCACAAGCCCATGCCAATGGGTGACCCTGCCAGCCAAGATGGACCTCCAGCACAGCAAGGTGTGGTGCAGTCTAGAGGCAAGACCACAACGATGAGGCACCGCTCACCTCCACGGCACAGTTCTCCAGCACCGTCCCACTTTGCACCACCGTGGTCTCTGTGCTCAAGGTCCCGGTCATTGGACTCAGAGGCGGAGTCCTACTATTCCAGGCACAGTTGGCACGGATCAGAGTGGCGCTGCTACAGGCAGGAGGTGGGGATTTTGTTGTAGCAGGCACAGTAGCAAGGGCCAGGTCAATGGCCTTTCTGGACAGACCCAGTGAGCATCCCACCAGGCCCAGAGCACTTACTCCAGGGGCTCCCAGTCCATAATTTCAGAAGGACACGTCTCTTTAGCACCCTGGGACTGTCTCCCGCCTCGAGGCACTAAGATGGCTTCGGTCCAAGGCACAGAGCCCTGTCCGGGTCCCACCGGCACCGAGGCCGCTGTCGGTGCCGAACAGCACAGCACCGAGCAGTATGCGTCCAGAAAGCTGGAGGGACAGGAGGGCCCGTTATCACCTAGGGCTTTGTCGTCGTCATCCTCTGGGCAGCCCCCCATTGATAATAGAGCGCACCAGGAACTGTTGCGCAGGGTGGCCCATAACATGGGGCCACAGGCTGAGGAGGTGGTCGAGTCTAAGGACCCCATGGTGGACATAACCCCTGAGGGGCCATCCAGGGTGGCATCGCCACTCATTAAAACATTTCAAGCCACTACGAAAATCTTGTGGCAGACTCCTGCCTCCATTCCCCCCTACAGCGAAGGGGATGGAGAGGAACTATTTCATCCCTTCTAAGGG